GCCGGAGCCACTGTGGAACTTTAGCGACGCCGGCGTCGAAGGCGAGCCAGGATCGGCGACTACAGAGGGCGTGGTCACGCAAAAGGCTTGTTTCCCGCTCTGCGTCGGCTGGGGCTTGGGGCCACCACGTTGCCCCCGTTGGGCCTCCTCGGGCTGCGGCGGGGAACTCCGTCGAGGACTTCGCCCGCCCCGCAGGGTGCGGGTTGCAAATCAAACCCTTTCGCAAACCACAATCTCCAGAGTCGCCGACAGGAGCCAGCGACACCGACGTCGAAGAAGAGCCAGGAGCGGCTACACGTAGGAGTGGCCCTTCGCAAGGGCGACCTTTGGTGCGGGCCCAATGGGGGGCCCCCCAATGGCCGAAATTCGCCGAGGGCGAGGCGATAGCAGCGGCTTGCGCGCCTGGATGTGGCCCCCCAGCGGCCTCCAGAACCCGCGCACCAAAGGTCACTCTTGCCTAGGGTCACATTTGCGTGTAGCCGGCAGGAGCCAGCGACACCGAGGTCGAAGAACCCTCGGGAGCCAGCGACACCGACGTCGAAGAGGAGCCGTCCACGTCGAGCCAAGTTTCATCAACATCAACGCCGAGCCCAGTTCCATTGACGTCGAGCCCAGTTTCATCAACGCCGAGCCCAGTTCCATCTACATCAACGCCGAGCCCAGTTCCATTGACGTCGAGCCCAGTTTCATCAACGCCGAGCCCAGTTCCATCAACGACGAGCCCAGTCCCATCATCGTCGACCCAGGTTCCGTCAACGTCGAGTACACAGCCACCTCCGACGAGTGCCAGTAGCAGCACCGAGGAGCCGCTTCCCACAGGGATTCCTGAGATTCCCGGGTGCGATGTGTGCGGGCTCCTCAATCCTTCGGAGGCTCCCCAGGACAAGAAGGACCTCTGCTGCAACACGTGCTTCAAGGGCAGCTTCTGCGAGATGGTCAGCTCTGGTTGAAGCCGCATGACCCTTTGCTGCGCTCGGTGGGCTCTTCTGCTGGAGTGGGGGCAACTTTTCAAGGGTGTGGGGCGTCTGGCCTCTCTGATGAGATAGATGTGTTGTTGATGGTGGTGGTTATCGTGGCGACGATCGTACCATTGAGAGGATGACGGGAGTGATACTGATACTGATGGTGATGGTGATGGTGACGTTGAGGGTGGACATGGTGATGATGATGTTGTTGCTGCTACTGCTGCTGCCGATGATGATGATGATGATGATGATGATGATGATGATGATGATGATGGTGATGATGGTGATGCTGACGATGATGGTTATGCTGATGATGATGCTGATGACGATGATGATGATGATGCTGATGCTGATGATGATGATGCTGATAATGAGTACGTAGCACCCCTCAATGGCGGATCAGAGTGAGGGGGCGGGCGCGGGCGACGCGGGCGCGGGAGTGGAAGGAATTCAAAAACAGCCCGCTGCAGGCGCCGAACATTTTGATTTGTACACTGAACGCGCAGGTTCTCCACTTGGAACACATGCAAAAGAAACCCGCCGCAGGCGCCGAAGTTTTGGCTTGTTCAGTGAGCGTAGTTTGGGTCGCGGGTGGGTCGCAGGCTCTCCACCTCCACCTGGAAGGAATTCAAAAACAGCCCGCCGCAGGCGCCGAAAATTTTGCTTTGTACACTGAACGCGGTTTGGGTCGCGGGTGGGTCGCAGGTTCTCCACCTGGAACGAATGCAAAAGAAGCCCGCCGCAGGCGCCGAACATTTTCGGTGGGTCGCGGGGTGGGTCGCGGGTGGGTCGCGGTGGGTCGCGGTGGGTCGCGGGTCGCGGGCGCGGTTTGGGTCGCGGGTGGGTCGCAGGTTCTCCACCTGGAACGAATGCAAAAGAAACCCGCCGCAGGCGCCGAACATTTTGGGTGGGTCGCGGGTGGGTCGCGGGTGGGTCGCGGGTGGTCGCGGTGGGTCGCGGGTGGGTCGCGGGTGGGTCGCGGGTGGGTCGCGGTGGGTCGCGGGTGGGTCGCGGGTGGGTCGCGGGTGGGTCGCAGGGTGGGTCGCGGGTGGGTCGCGGGTGGGTCGCCAGTGGGTCGCGGGTGGGTCGCCGGGCGGGTCGCGGGGTGGGTCGTGGGGTGGTCGCGGGTTGGGTCGCGGGGTGGTCGCGGGTGGGTCGCGGGCTCGGTCGCGGGTGGGTCGCGGGGTGGGTCGCGGGTGGGTCGCGGGGCGGGTCGCGGGTGGGACGACAACAACAAACAACAAACAACAAACAACAAGCAACAACAACAACAACAACAACACCAACCACCAACAACAACAACGAGAATCCGCATCGCGGACTTCCACTTCAGCCACGCACCCAGGGACAGTGAATGACCATTCGGTTCAGCCCCCTCACTCTGATGATGATGATGATGATGATGATGATGATGATGATCCTGATCCTGATCCTGATCCTGATCCTGATCCTGATCCTGATCCTGATCCTGATCCTGATCCTGATCCTGATCCTGATCCTGATCCTGATCCTGATCCTGATGATGATGATGCTGA